GCAAATTGACACATTCTCTTACTTCACGTGGGAGAGAATTCCAGAAACTCATTGCACGGTATAAAAATGTGCGTTGCCCAGAAGCTGGGGATATTCAAGTTATGCTTATACCTAGTATTACAATCATGAACACAAGCACGTGTCTTAAATCTATGACAGAGATAGCTGGGGGCTAGCCCCTTGACACATTTGCAAGCTAAAACTCCAAGTGTGTATTTAAGAAAACTGATACTTGTTGCTCTTCTTTTGCTTTTGCATATGAAGTGACAATTTTTCTCTGGTTTGGCCTTGGTGAAACGTTTTTCGGCAAAGAAAGCTTCATTTGAATAATTTCTGGGGTCTAAGAATGTACACCGCTTAGCGCAAGCAGGGGTAATGTGGGGGAAAGGGAAGTGGCAGAGTTTTTAGATTTGCGGACGCAAGACATGTTCCCTCGTCTCATTTTCTCTCTTGAGAGACAATATTTACTTCGTTTAATTTAGTTTCCGTATGTACCACAGGGATCTGACGTTAGTTGATTGCGTCTTTCTTGGGAGAATGGACCAAATTTAAACTTTTCTCGGTTTATTTCGATTCTATAACGTATTTACTATTTTTAATAGAGCCTCTTAACCCTTTAAACCTCAAAGAGTGACCAGCATCTAATTTCTCCTTACAATATCACCCCTGAATCACACATAAAGGTCATGAGAATACAGGAAATGATCAGCGTACGAGTGACCAGCATCTAATTTCTCCTTACAATATCACCCCTGAATCACACATAAAGGTCATGAGAATACAGGAAATGATCAGCGTACGAGTAACCAGCATCTAATTTCTCCTTACAATTTTACCCCTGAATCACACGTTAAGGTCATGAGAATTAGAGGAAATGATCAGGGTAAGAGTGACCAGCATCTAATTTCTCCTTACAATATCACCCCTGAATCACACATAAAGGTCATGAGAATAGAGGAAATGATCACCAACTAAAGAGGTTCTTGATTGTCAAATAAATTCTCCTTGTCAGCACTTAAAAGAGAGAACAGTATAGAGAACATGTCTGCTGAGGTTGGGGTGTGAAACTTTTAACACGAAGGCGCGTTATAAAAGGAGCCTTATGTCCCACTGGACCATTTGTCAATCCACTGTCGTGTAATGTAGAACTCTCAGAGTCAAGTCAGCTTGAGCCACAGCTACTCCAAAGCAGTGAACAGCGGGCGCATTCCTNGTAAGAGTGACCAGCATCTAATTTCTCCTTACAATATCACCCCTGAATCACACATAAAGGTCATGAGAATAGAGGAAATGATCACCAACTAAAGAGGTTCTTGATTGTCAAATAAATTCTCCTTGTCAGCACTTAAAAGAGAGAACAGTATAGAGAACATGTCTGCTGAGGTTGGGGTGTGAAACTTTAAACACGAAGGCGCGTTATAAAAGGAGCCTTATGTCCCACTGGACCATTTGTCAATCCACTGTCGTGTGATGTAGAACTCTCAGAGTCAAGTCAGCTTAAGCCACAGCTACTCCAAAGCAGTGAACAGCGGGCGCATTCCTCAAAATTGTTTTATGTCTTCATCACAATACAAGAATTTTTGAGGTTTGTATTTCCTTTCTCCAATGGAAACTGTCTTTACATCTAGCGGTAAATTTGAGATCGAAGTAGGTTGTTCGCACCTTACCTCATGCCACCATGCTGGTGGAAGTAAACAATAGATATCTCATTGGCTCCTTTTGTTCGTCTACAAGCATTTAAATTTGACCCGCTCACGTAAACCGTGAGTGACAAATGAGCCTAGGTCTTCCCAGGGAAGACTTCATTATATAGCGCGCCTTCGTGTTTAAACGAATGTTCTGCCTTCAAGACTCATAAGCAATCGCCTTCAAATTAAAGAAAAACTTTCAACAATGTATGGAAGTGTAGATAAGTGCAGACAACTGAAAAAGAGATCACAAAAAGGAAACAAAAAGAGAGGACGGTGATGCACGGATTGTAAATGACGTCTACTGCTTTCCGCGTATTAATAGAGACACAAACCTATAAACAAATGAAGAGTTGTTTATTCATTCTAAAACACTTTAAGCTTCACCTCCAAATGTATCAAGGCATATTATCTAGAGGTCGATTTTGCGTTAGGGATAGGTACACGAAGGATTTGGCAAGAAATTTTGTTCAACTCCCTCAAAAAAAGATTTGTGAACCTCAAAGTTTAGTTTTCAAACTCTGTCATCATCATATTTTTTACCCATTCAAAACTAACGAAGGATTACAAAATACGCTAATAGGCGTGCATACCTTTTTTTGGAACTCAACAAATTCTCAAATTTTACACTTTCAATTTTATCTGCCAACAACATAAATCGTCTGGTAAATAATTCGACAGCTTCGAATAAATATTTCAGCTATTTGTTGAACGTATTACTTTCCATCAAGAAATGCGGCTATCTACAACGAGGCGATTTGTATCCAATGTTATTCAACAACGGTCTGAGACTTAAAGAATCTAATCCATCATCAGTGAAGTATTACAATTTTGACTGTCGAACTAAACTGTTCATTGACTGTCTCTTGACGATTCTGTTCAACAGAAGACCAGTTCATTGCTCTTTTACTTTATTGCTCCAGTCACAGCAGTCTTGCGTTACTCTCCATCAAAACGTCTGGGCGCATGGATGAACTACGTGACAAAGGTTCAACCACCGGGTGACATAATCGCTCTCACTGCGTGACTGACGTCAAACTTTTCAAGCGGTCCGCTTCTATTTCAAGTTTAAAGTCCTCTTTCCAGTCAGATCAGATGTGTTGCGGTGTTTCCAAACCAACTAACAGGCGGTACATGGAGGCAGGCATGGTTTTCATACGTATCTGAAGAGATACACATTAGTAAGAAATTCTGATCTGCACTTCGATCAATATTTAACTATATCTTAGAGAACCTTTCAGAGAAGCATGTTCCAGGAGTTCATTTAATTAAACGGAGTGAAATAGTAACCAGGGTTGTAGAAGCAGCGGAGCGAAAGACCGAGGGGGGTTTGGGACTGTTTACGACCCGACCCAACTTCCTCACTTTTTCCACTCCTCCGTACAGGATACTTAGAGAAATTTCGAGTAACATAACACAAATGAGTTTTGTTTACTTAACATTTAACATTGTTAAATACGCAAAAACAGCGTTTGGTAATAAGAACTAAACTTTCACCCAAATCCACAGACACTAGGTCACCGGTATCTTCCAAGGTTTAAGGCTTTGATTTTCCAATGGAGTGATTTTCTCCCGTTCTGCTCCCTTAAGATTTTTTGAACGACACTTAACGGAAAGGTGCTCTGACAAACTAAACTCTTGGACGTGAACAAACCTCTCCTACTGTGGTGGCCAATAGTTCCACAATATGCTGATGTGACGTGGCAACCACACTCTCGTTATTAATTTCAATGATCCTGTGTCCCACTCGAACGCCACCTCTCTCAGCAATACTTCCGCGCATTAAACTGCAAATCTACAAAGGACAAGATATAAAGTACAGCTGATCGGTAACAGTAGCGTGACGTAAATAAGTTAGATTATTGCTTGAAAAATTAGTTTCTTGATTGACGAAAGTAAGGTTTGGCATGAAAAGAGTTCAGCGTACATTTGAATTAGCATTTTTTCTTAAGGAACTTGAGTTTAACGAAAAGTTGTATCTCCATAACAAAAAGTTAACACCACAACACTCGGCATTTATGTAATCGTTCCGAAGATCAAAAACTTTGAGGAGTCGTTCAAACACCATCCACAAGTGCAACTGATTATGTTTACATGTACAAGGCAAAGTTGAGATCGCGTGTAAAGTAGCAAAGGCCGACCGGAGAAGAATGGAGAGAACGATAATTCAGTCACTGACTTTGAATCGCATTTACAACCGGAAGTTTTTACTAACAAGTTCTCTCGTCATTGAAAAATCTTACGCTACGTTATTTAAAAAGAAATAGAGGATATGATTGCATGGCCGCGTGGGGATGCGAATTTTATCTTCTCGTGCTGAAAGTATCTCTCACGAGTGAGCGCAGCGAACGAGTGAGAGATACTTTCAGCACGAGAAGATAAAATTCGTATCCCCAAGCGGCCATGTAATGTTCTGTTTATTATATAGATACTGATGAAATTTCCACATAAAAGACAACTTTTTTTATTCATTTTCGAAACAGCAATTGGGTAATTATGTTGGTAACCATGGCCACACCAATATCCTCATATGTGAAAGAAAAAATAGTATCTTCACTGCGCGCGGTGAAGATACGATTTTTTAGTAAAAGGAGAAATCCTGGTATTTCATCAGTATCTATATAATAAAACCTATTATCAATATTGCCAAGGGAAAACCTGTTGAAATACGATTTCTCCTAAACCATTTCACGCGTAAATGTCGCGGTCATGCCACTTAAACAAACATATTTCGTCCTTGAGCACAGCTGATATGTCAGTTGTTGCACAGGAGGACTTTGGATCGAAAACCTTGCCAGTAAAAACGCAGCGTTTGACCAGCTCTACAGGCTAACTGAGTTAGAAACAACTCCAAAGTTCTAAAGACGCCAAGCAAATCACACGTCTACTCGAAACAAAAGGCGACCATTTACCATGCCATTCTGCACACTAAATCCAAGCTGATACTTGGTATCCGGTCTGTTAACCACCACTTGAACTGTTGGAGGACACGATACGATTTTCATCACCACTTTCGTGTCTGGACGTATGTTCTGAAACGCATAAACAACCAACACTTGTTGAACAAGCATCCGGGAAGATCAAGAAGAATACTATTGGCGAATAATTTTTATCAGCGTCCACTTTTGCTAAGAGTCAGGGTAACACTTAATTCAGATGTCAACATTATTTTGGCAACATCGCTAGCACATTTTTAGAAAAAGGAGAGGGGGAGAGAAACGAGCGAAAAGAGGGAGCCAACAAAACACGGTGGTTTCTGAGAGCCTCCCTTTTTTTACATTAGCCTGCGCTGCTGTTTTCGCTCGTTCTCACAGACTGAATGGTTTCCACGGCACAAGCCAGGTGTAGAGAGGTCGGAATTTTCAAATTATGAAAGACTACACAACACGGCTAAAATTCATTCCTATGACTAGGAAGTACAGCTCTTAAACAGCACTGAACGCTCAGCACATCTTTCGCAGCACCACATAGAATTAAGAATGGGATGAAACCAATGGGAAAAATCCCACTCCGATTGAAATATGCTCACGATGTGATGTTCATCTGGAATCACAGTCTCGTAGCTAGACTTCTCAAACTCATTATTTATTCATCGAGATCGTCCTACCGAGAGATGCCAATTGCAACACTTGAATGTGGTTTGCAACTTCGTGAAACAATCAACCTTACAATCAAATAAACTGTTCCAATTTAAGTGTCTTACCTTAATAATATTCTGACATTCCAACAACGGTAGACCGACCAAACTTGTACCATTAACAGAGAGGATCTGGTCACCAACATTGAGCCTTCCAGACTTAGCCGCTGGTCCGTCTTTCGCCAGATGGGCTATAATAGCGCAAGGAATCATGGATCCCCAGCCTGATTCCACGATCATCACACCAAGCATTTCAGCGGGCTTCTTATTAACAATCACCTACAACAAGACAGGATTTGTGAACAAACACGTCTGCAGTCACCTCGAAAGATTATATCTACGCTAATACCTTTGAATCTATCGTTGGCAATTCGTCTAAATCTTTGTCATCTTCATATCACCCTTGTTCTTTTCTCATAATTTTGTCATCTCTTAAAAATTCTTATTAACTCCAATTTTCGTTTCTTGCGGTATTCCCTACCTCAACGCTGATTTCGAAAGACTTACAAAGCGAAAACAAACAGCATAAACTATCTCCCAAACATCGTTCATCCAACTTACCTCTTTGGCGCTATTTTCATCCGACAACAAGGACAAGTCCTCGCCGAGTATTTTCTGTGCCTCTAACACACCGTTGTACTCGGCATCTTCAATAACGTCCTCGCTCAGTCCATTTTGACGTAAGAATTCTTGATAAGCCACATTGAATGCCTGACCAATACTCTTGGCAATCACCTGGGCCTACAAAGAATCCAGCCAAGTTTAGATAAGATTGAATTACTAGGGAGGTAACATACTTTTTGTTGTGAATTCTTTATCGAAGGCAAAAAAAAAAAAAAATGAGCTAACAAAAATTAGTGTTTGAAAACCGATAAGACAGCAAGTTAGTACTGCAGAGAATTCAAATTGAAGTTTCAATAAAATTAATTAGCGATTAAGATAAAGGAAATATAGCATGGAATTACCAAAGAGAATAAGACTCGCGCACATAGAGACTAAATTTACAGAAGCAACGTCGACATCTGTTGCTCAAATGCAATCCGTTCAATTTTTCTACCCTAAGCTATCTTTGTTATTTCTTCGTTCTATCATTGCCTCTTTTTGTGATTTATCCCATCTCACCGAGCTAATATTTTGCACTCTCTTCCGAATCGAAGGTAAGTTTCTTCAAGTTGTAAAAAACCTAACGATTAAAGAAAGGGTGACTAAGCTCTCAAAACGTCTTTCTTTACAAAGGGAAAGTTCTTTCATGAAACGTCCTTGAAGATAAGCGATATATTCAGGACAGACCTCTGGTGCCTGGAAGACGTGGCAGGTTATTTTGACGTTTTTGTGGTCTGTCTGTGCCGTTCCTACACTGGCTAGAATCTGTGAAGGTTTTAAAACCTCTTTGTTGGCGCGTTCCTCGGCTTGCTGACGAGCCATTAGCACGAGAACATCGCCGATATCTGCGATGAACGACACGGAGCGGAGGGAGTGGTCTAACATGACCTCCTGTTGAAAAGGAAGTAAATGAAACGATTGTTTATTCAATTCTTAGGTTGATGAACATTAGGCAACAGCACAACGACGATGTAAATGAAGATGCTTTGCGCATGGTGATTTAGGTTAGCAGAGATGATGTACGTCAGCAACGACTCACGCATACTTGGATGAAAAAAACTTCAAGAGCTCCTAATAGGAGTGGAAGTAGTAATCGGAAGGTCGCAGGTTCGACTCCTAATGGAACCACTTTGAGTTCTTTTTGTTTGAGTATGCCTGTGTCGTTACTGGATAACATCATCTTTCAACAAGTTGATGAACAGTTCAATGTGTACTGCTTATAAAATAAGATGGTGCAACTTATTTTCATGCAACGATTACACTGTCGAATTCAAAACAATTTGAATGTGAGAGTTGTTCCGGGGAGAACAAAATATCTTCACAAAAAAAGAATATCCAAGTAACATTACGGAAACTGTCGCTGCTGGCTCCTGCCTGTTTACGGCGTGTGCTGAATTTCAGATACAGCAGTCCCATATTCCTTCACATATAAAACCGGTTACCTTCAGAGAACAAAAATTAATTCAAGAAACCTGCACAATAGACCGTTTTACAGTTGTGTACTTAGTTGCCAAGCCTTCGATTTGAAGTGAGGCTGAGGGTGACATTGTTGTGATAGAGACCAGTATCTACGTTAGCATGATAACAAAGAAATTTGCATTTGAAAAGCAGCAACATCTCTATCATAACAAGGTCACCCTTAGCCTCACTCCTGTTCAAAGGCTTGGCCACCAAGCCCACAACTGTAAAAAGGATTATTGCGAAAACTTACCTTAGTAGTAGAGTTGACCACTTTAAGTCTTTCCGTGGAAATGAAAAAGTCAATATCAGTAGTTGGTTGGTCCTCCCCCTCAGGAACCTAAAAAACAACAAATTCAGTACAACTGACTGAAAAAGGCGAACTGTGCATCAAAGTTACTGTTTGCAATCCGCCTCAATCGTTTCCACCATTCACCATCCAAGTTCTCATGTAAATTATTACACGACTCGGGCAGTCAGAGGGCCAATAACTAAAATAAACCAATGAAAATTCTCTATTGCCGGTCAATATTCTCTCAGTATTGGACCGGGCACTGTCCCGAATGGTCCCGAATGATACCGCACTTGCGTCCCTTTGAACTTCGGTCGTACAATAAATCTCTTATTAAGCAAGCTTGCTCGGGACCGTACTGGAAGAATATCGGCCCTCGGTCTTTTTTGTACGGACCTCGCTGCGCTCGGTCCGTACTGTCAAGACCTCGGGCCGATATTCTCCCAGTACGGCCCTCGCGCTTGGTTAATAAGATTTATATATTCTCACATTTTTTTAAACGATTGTTAACCTTCGAAAACGGTCAATTCCAAATTCATTTTGGTTTTAAAGAAGTTTGTACGTCGCAAAACCATCAAAATATCAAATGTAGCTCCTTTTGTGATAAGCAAATCATCCTTTAATCCATTACATCCTGACATCAATGTGTATATTCTCCCTACTGTTCTCTATATATTTCTTAAGATAATGACAACGAGAATTTGTCTTATAACAAATAGCTTCTTTAGTTGGTGATCATTTCCTTTATTCTCGTGACTTTAATGTGCGATTCGGGGGCGATAACGTAAGGAGAAATTAGATGCCAGTCACTCTTGGGATTGAAGGGTTAAAAGCCGGAGTTACAGCCAGAGTACAAACTGAAATCAACTTGGCGGTGCCACGCATGGACGACAAAACACAGAGCTTCTTTCGTGATTCAGAGATGTAATAAGTTTAAGTGAGTCTTACCTTTATACGCCCCACGGCTTCCTGAGCTTGTTCCATCCGTACAGCTTTGTTTGGAGCCTGGGGCGACATAATTTGCGATGAACCCAGGTACTACAAAGAGGAGAAGTGAATGGAATATTAAACCTTATAATTATAATTTAAAGGACAGATCAAATCCTAGCTGCATTCAGCTTGTCAGAAATGAATATTGAAGATGTCTTAAATACGTCATGTTTATCTGTAAAATCTCAAGCAAACAAAGGGATTCATTTACGACGAACTTTACAATCAATTCTATCTGCATATTAATGACTAAGCATCAGCTGTTTAAGACAATATTCAGTCGTGCTAGTCCTTTTATTAGAATTAACTATAAATAAACTTTGTTGTACAAGTGCTAATTCTTGCACATAAATTAACCCTGAATGAAGTTACAGCCGCCACGGTCTTGGTCAGGTTGTCTGTAAGGGCGCCCGAGGCTTACACGAAGTCAAGTATTATCAAAGAGGGTTCTAGCTTTTGTAAATGTTCATCCCCATCGATTTTAACCATACATATGTCTCGCCGATGGTCGAGTCAGCCGTATTAAGAAACAGTAATGACTTGGCCAACATTAAATTAAAATTTGTTTAAATGCAAAGTGCTAATCGATCGTGAGAAAAAAAAAACTGTTGGTTTTCCGTTCTTAAACTCAACTTCTTAATCTTATAATTATACTATACTCGAACGTTTAGAAAGATACGAAAGAAACGACACAATTTGTGTAGAAACCTTTTATAAGATTGTTTGTTTAGAGAATAAACTGTCAATACCAACAATAACGGGTCTTTCGAATGCAAATTTTAAAGATGATCGCGAATGATTGAAGCCAAAGAGAGGCTTATATTCGCAACACCAGAGAAGCAATACTTATGAAGTGAAAAAGTCAAGCTTAAAACTTGTAGATATGTTAGAAATTCCCGATCAGACAGCATCAGAAACTAGCAATTCGAATGCTCAGATTATAGACCAGAAGACGTTCATCTTTTAAGGCTGATTGTGACTTCCCCCAAATTGATGTAAATATCAACTTCCTAACTTTAGCCTTTTCAAAAACTAGACTTACCGACATTCTTACAAAAGGTTTCGCGTTAACAAAAGATGCGCGGCAAAAAAGCTTATCTGACAATACACTAAAAGCTGGCATAAGAATTAAGACAATAAACTGAACTAGAATTGTATAAACTCGCAAACCAAACAATTCACGTTGAACAACGCTTCGTGATTAATGACTAACTTACTTTGGCTGTGTACACAACTCCAAGAAGAAGATTCCTCGGATGATGTGGGCCATCCCAAGCTTAAATAAAAGACAAAAGAAAATCAAACTGTAGAACACGCTGTTAACAACTTCCTTACAGCTGTTCGCAGCGATCCAGTGAAGCGAGCGTGGTACTTCTTCTTACCACAGTCAATCAATCTATCACCACAATCTCTCCTTCAGTTTTGAAGAAATTAATTTAACGAGATTGCCGCGTTTTCACAAAGGTAAAGAATTGTCGCTGGACAAACGTCAAAGGTACTATCAAAACTTTGTACCTATTGGAAGTACATCATGGTCCTTGTGCTCGCAGAATCGGAAGAAAAGTCTGACTTCCGGAATGTTAAACTCAAACACATCAGAAACCATCTTGAAGACGTAAGACTAAGTAACATCAGGTTTACATCTGAACCAGTCACATTTTCCCCACGAAATTTGCGATCCAAGCCACAAAACTAACAGGCGCGCGCCCCAAACAAACTCATTTTCACCGCACGGAACAAGATTCCGCGTTGACTCTTCCCGACTCCGGTTTAGAATAATTGACAAATCTGACATGGGCCCCCAACGACTACAGGTAATTAAATATTTATGCCTACGAAGCGTGAAAAATACACACAGAGACGATAAGCGAGCGGAGAACGAAAAAAGAAATTATTTGCGGTTGCATTGGCGAAAACTAGAGACTAGTTGTCTAGTATTTCTCCAAGTTTAATACATTTCTAAGAACCAACATCCGATATCAAAATTTCCTGAAATGACAGTTAACAAGAAATGCTCTCTAATGGTGATTGTCTCTATACACGCAGCTGTCTTAGAGCGAAACGGGTAGTCACCCGTTTCACCCAATCTTTAAATCTCTTTCGTTTACACTTCTCATTGTTTCGCACCCAACGTTCTCGACTATTTATTGAATTGTGACAAACCAGCACGATCCGACCGAAAAATAGATTTCACTGTCGGGATGCAATTTCATTAGACAAAAACCGTTAAGGGGTGTACAGTTTTGGAGATTTTCTTTTTAATGCTTCATAAATATAAACATAGACTGTTTTGGGACTAAAACATGAAATTGAGCTATTTTAAGCAATTGAAACGCTTTCCTTATCTCTGGGTTGTAAAAAGAGGAAAACGATTTAAATTCGCCTCTGTTCAAACCGCAAAATTGTAAGCAACACGACCAAAAAAAAAACCAATTTGTTCTTGAACACATTTTCTTTTTTAATCAAAGTCATTTTCACCGACAGAGTCCACTTTTCTCATTTCATTAAATGTAAATAAAAGCAAAATCGCTTTCGCCGCTTTTGCTAGCGACAAGCCGACAACATTAATTGAACTCATGCTAAACAACATATTTGGTTGGGCCAAATTTTAATATGCAGCCTCGAATGAAGAACTACAGTAGCTTGCAAGCAAGCACTCATTATTAGTGATTAAGTAAGCGACTCGCTTCCAATTTTCCTACGGGTGTTCCTTGCTACAGTAATAATAATAAGAACCTGCTTACAGGAAATCAAGGGTACTTTGGTGGGGTATACACTCGTTAGCAACGACACAGCGTTTGTCACTAACTTAAACCCTTTCAATTGTGAAATTCAGGAGAAAAAATATACGTTACTGTCTTTTAGGTAAAATACTTATTTCATTGTCTTTCTACCGTAGACATAGGAATATTAGCAAAATTATGAACTAACACTTTGACAAAGATTTTGCCATTCACTCAAAAATACACAATTTACGGAAACGATGGCTCCGAAAGAGTGGAGCACCGCTTATTAGTTCTTGCTTCTTTAGCCTCCATTTCAAAACGAGGCATAGCACCAAACCTTATGACAACAAGAATAGAGAGTTAGAAAAGTGACGGGGATTGGAGAGGGGAGAACTATTAGCACAAAGTTAGGTCGCTCGGCAATTGGTTCAGAAAATTTGCGCCCCTCTCTCAACCAATCAGATTCTAAACTTAAACCAATCACGATTTGGTCGTTAGTCTTTTCCCACACTTAAGGCAGTTTGCCTGTTCTTACTACGAGTTGTCATCTTTCCTTTCAATCGGCTGTCGTATTACTTTACATTTGTTTTTATTCAACTCAATCGAAATGCCTCTTTGATGACGAATTTGTCTTGAACACATTCCTTAACTAGTGAAAAAGAAAAAGGAAACAAATGTTGTGCTGCCGGCGTCTACAGGCAGGTCAAGTCAGCGACAAAGTAACCGACGTAGCAAAATGTGAAAATCTGGGGTTCCCTGCGTTTATAGACCTCAGCCCAGACAAAGAAGAAAATCAAAATTTAATAAAAACACATTCTTATAACCCAGCCGAACCTTAAAACGGAGAAAAGTTTAAGTATTGAAAAAGGTTTAAAATGCTAAGCTAAAGCCTTGAATAAAATGGAAAACGAACCTCGATTTTTTCGATTAATTATATCGGACGAGTCTACGTATTCCAACATTTTTACTGAGACACTAGGATCACTGCCGAGCTCATTATAACGATCACATGGCGAGTTCCCTATCGGGTGGTCAATTATCTCAACTTTCCCTAGTTTTGTGGAACAAAAAGCGAAAAATAAGGATACAAGTTTGGAAAGCTTCTCATTATTTTTAGTAATCTTATAAAAGTATCAAAAATCAAACATGAACATCACCCCCTTTCCCACTCCCCCCCCAAAAAAAAAAGAAAAAATCGATTAGACTTCATTATAGAATTCAGACATCTAATTTCGCTCATCATTGAAAACACTTCCAGTCATAAAATATTAAGTGGACTACATGAATTTGCTCGCATCTCCTTGTGTATTGCCGGTCTCAATAGCAAAGAGAGATTACAAACTGTAATCAGAAGTCACAGAGTGTGAAAAAAACGTGACCACTCACCTACAAACTGAAAAAGTTTCATTAATAAAGAGTGAGCGCAAACTTGTTTGGTAAGTGTTAACCGGAATGTTTTGTTTCTTCGTGCCAAACGTTTACATACCGTCGCTTCTTAACCAAATACAATCAGCCATACTTCGGTGGAATCTCAAGTTCTGCCGTGAATTCCTCGGAGATTCAGAGTGCTTAGCACTGAAAAAGTGGGTTGAACTTCAGTTGCCCAACTATCTAAATTTTAAAATGCTCGGCGTGAATATAGAAACATTTCCTATTATCTATCAGCACAAACCGGGCGATGTAAAGGTAAACACTAAAAGAGACACATCACAAACTTACCTGGATTTCGCTCACGGGCCTTGTTTGCCGCAGCCTACAAGTAAAAAGCAAGACAATCCGTTGAAATATTAAAAGAAACCTGTACTGCCGGCTAATACGGAAAATGATCACACGGAAAGTAAATAACTCATATTTTTACAAACACAAATTGTCGAGCATAACGTACAAAACCATGGCACTCTTCGAGAAGGCAGGTTTCGTGGAGATAAGGCATGAAGTTTCTAGTTTGGAAGAGCTAAACTATTACCACCCTGTTCAACGGTTCGGTAAAATTCGTTTGGCCATCGCCAAGAACCGAAAAGAGGAAATTCGAGCCGAAATGGTCCGGTTCGAAACTTTCTCGCTCAAGATCCGAAAGTTTTTCTTAGTATTGACCGAATTGGTTTGTATCCATCACAGCGGTGGTTTGGAGCTCAATTATTTATCCCACTGATTCGTAATAAAACCGCATTCTTCTAGTCAAAATAGTCGAGCAATTCAGTTTACAAACTCCGTAACACTGAAATCTATCCCACAGAATAAGAATGTTAAAAAAAAAGAGAGTAAGTGTGAAGTCACAGGACCGAAGAATAAGTCCACTCGAATCAGAGTACTTTTTCATTTGAGTCTTGAGATCAAAAACGAAACGAGGAAATATAAAGAGGTGACAGATGTTTGAAGGAAAATTGTGGTCGCAAGATAACTAGCTTGCTTTTAGGAAATAAGTAAAGATCATTACAGAAACAGGAATTTATATTCTTTAATCATGCTTAAATTGACGGAAACAGTAACCGAAAGGCAAGTATCCATTTGTACGTGACAAAGTGCAATTACATTTCAAGGACATCTGAGCGACCGATAAAGAGGCTTTGAGAAATAATAGAAATTCATCAATATGATCTTTTAACCGTGGTTAAACGAAGAGCTAACTTTTCCTTTCTTTTAATGATTCTCACGAGAAGGAAATGAGAAAAAGTAGTCTTACACATTTTTGCACAGATTTTATCCGCTTCTTCATTATTCCACGACATTTCTTGCAAAAAACATCATCAAGTCTTATTTCCAATTCGAAAAAAATTCCTTTTCCTCGTAGAACCAAGCACTTCATATCGAGACAATAATCTCTTTTCCTCACGTGATTTAAGCTTTAATTAAGACCATACGTGAAGAATGCAACAGACAGACTTCAATGCTTCCGTCCACATGCACATAGCCTCTACTATCCGACATAGAAAATGCTTACTAAGAGCTCCCCCCTTACTAAGAGCTCCCCCTCTCTGTCCCCACCCCTCCCTGTCCCCACCCCTCTCGGTCCCAACCCTCTCTGTCCCCACCACCACCACTCCCAGTCTCCATGCTACGCCTTATAATCTTTATCCTTATAACCTCTGTACTCTTAAGGTTTTTTCATTTCCGGTGGAAAATATCAAGAAAATAAAAGAGGAGCTTAGGGATTAAGAGGTTAAAGCGGAGAGGGAGTAAGGCGCTCGTAACTGGAAACAAACGATTTCATTGCAACAGTCCCTCTTAACAAGGAATTCGATGAAAAATATATTAAAAAACAACAATGACAAAAAAAAAAAGAAGAAGCAAAACAAACGAGATAAACAACTGTTAAATATTTCTAAAATATCTAAATAAAATCTTTAAAGCGCTGACAGATAAACAGTTCACGACAAAAGATTAATAAGGAATTCAATGTATAAGCAGAAGAAGGGCTCGACAGATAAGAAAAAAGCACACGCTAAAACTTTGTTCGAAATCTGAGGCATGGAAGGAACTTACAGAAGAGTCAAATAAAGGTCCTGGCAAGCGGAAAGTTTGAAGCGGTAGAAGAGGGAGAGTTCGAGAGACATCACAATCCTGCTGCCGGCGTTGGGTCACCGCCTGCTTACAACTCTTTATATACTCATGCCAAGTCATCTTACAACAACCAGCAGATACAGACACAACGTGGAGAGCCAAGAAAAAGAGAAAAGAAAGACACAATTAGATTGAAGTTTAGTTTGTCTTACAGTGTTCACTTTTATCTGTCTCCGTGCAAAAGCAAGGATGAAATCAGTGAGAAGTGAAATTATGAAGTTCGGTCTTGAGATAAGTCAGGAAAGTTAAAGCAGAGCGGATCTTGATGATCAAGGTATTGCTTCAGAGTACAAGAGAACAACAACAGAACAATACGAGAAAACGCGATTAGATAAGTGAAAAAGTGTTGATTAGAACCTTGCACAAGTACCATTCGCAACTTTGAACCTACAGTCAACATGTGAGGAAGTGCATCCTTGAGTGTGTCGCAACATAATAAAGAGGGAGAAAACACGAAAAGTAGAACGTAATAAAAAGTGAGTCTCAAATTGTTCGTGGTTCGTCAAAAATCTTAACTAATGGCGACTGTTCAGCCACATCAGTGCTTTTTATTGGTAGCTGCTTATTTTTGTTTCCCCTTTCAAATATTCAAAGGAAATATCATGAAAATTTCAGTTTTGTTTGCAATTTAAAAGTTTTAAAGCTTCTTCGGAGGTCTGAAGTCACACCGTTTAAAAACGCAAGGTAGAGTTATTTTTTATGTACACAGGTCGGCTTTCAATCACCTCTCACCCATCAAAGAGTGCTGATGAACTTAATGCTCGTCTTAAACGCAAAACTGTTTACTTTAACCCTGATCTGGTTAGTTATTCTTCCGCCTTGCCAATGTCTTTTATGTTCGTGTTGTCACGAGTGAGGGACAAAGAAAGCAAAATTCGAGTTTCCATGAGGAATCGAGCCCTAGACCTTCGGATTCCGCGCTCCTTTACCATTATCAAGCTGTATCAAAATCCATGGTAAGCTAGGCCATTATGAGGATCATACGTAACGGTCGTTCTACAAAAGATCAGCAAAGTTGAAAGTATCGAGAGAGCGATGGGATAAATAAGACGGTAAAAATTGAGCTTGGTAAATAAAAAAAGAAAAAAAAAGATGTTCTAGAAGTTAAGCGGATCGAGATAAGTAAGAATCTAACAGCTCCATACCTTCTCTGCCGCACAGTATTCACAGGTCTCCTCGTGTTCTGAGTCACTCTCTCCTGCTGGTTCCGAATGCTCGATATTACGTGATGCTAGCCCTACCGAAAAAGTCCCCTTTTTCTTCACCTCTACAGCCCTGTTCGTGCGTTCGTCGTCATCTGATGACGATCCAGTGTACGAAAGCTGCAGAGATCGACGCTTATCCTTTCTCCGAGAACTGTAAGGAACACCGTCTGGGATGACCTCGCTTATCGGTCTCGTTTGCCTTCTGTTCGATTTGCTGCTAACAAATCCCACGTCAGGCAGATCGGCAGGATCCTCTTCTCGCTTGTGACGACTCTTGTGTCCTGAAACTAAAAGCGCAACACAACATAACTGACCCAATGTGACCAGCAAGCAACAGAATTCAAACAAAAGAAGGACACTTAGTTTTGTCCACATACTATCTATAGTCTCTTTCACAACCGTCGTTTCATTGGGTTAGGCAACACGCTCCATAACCCGACCACTCCTTGTTAGCAAGAGAGCTCTATAATGCAACACTGCTTTCAGCACAGACCTAATTCTTTTTGACGTTTTTTTTCAGTGGAGGGCAAGCAAGCACGAGGAATGATGCACGCGCGAGGGACGAGAGATGCTCCTCTCTCACCCATGACTCACGCTTCGCTTTCGCCTCGCGCTGCTGCTCACCTACTTCAGGGGATGGAGCCAAGTTTATTGATCGCGACTTCCCTTTACCAGCGGTTAACAATTTTTGAATATCATATAATTATTTACTCACAAACTTTCCTGCCAGCCAAGCTTCCTGACTCGTACTCCTTTAACAAGGAGGCCTTTTGTGCTATGAGTTTATGAATTTCATCATCTCTACAGAGCCAGACGTGTTTGCTTCGATCATGGGTGTGGCCACTGTGCTTGTGAGTGCCACGATCCCTAGAAACATGGTCCCTATTTCCATGATCCCTAGCAATGTGCTCCCCGCCACCATGGTCTCTGGCAACATTCTCCCTGCTACCATGGTCTCTGGCAACATTCTCCCTGCTACCATGGTCCCTAGCAATGCGCTCTCTACTTCCATGGTTCCTGGCATTGTGATCCTTAGAAACAGTGTCCCTCATACTGTGGTCCTTCTCAACATGTTCCCTAGCAAGATGATCCCTTGAACCATGTTCCTTGGGGCTCTGATCGTGGTGACCAGAATGAAAAGAAATTTTTTCTTGCGAATTTGAAAGGTGGCCATTACTTGTGGGTCTTCCTCTCGGCTTCGATTTCGATTGCCCAGGATTTTTAACCGGTGCATCACTGCGTTTCTTCCTTTCACGTCTGATTCCGTCGTCCTGATCAGATTCATCGGGCTTACCCACAGTCCTTTTAGATTTGATTTTTCTCACTTCTGCTTTTTCTGAGGACTTTTCTCTTTCCTCGCGCGTAAATGAAGAGGCCGAAGTAGATTTCTGTTTCTTAGAAGATAGAGATTCAGAAGAAGTTGTCTTCTGTGGTTTTTTCCTTCTTAATGAGTCCGATGTTGAGTCACTGTCACTTTTCCGCGGTTTCTTCACTTCCTTTTTTGGTTGATTAGCAGCTAAATGCACCTCATCTGCCTGGTTATGTGATGGAGAATCAGCGCGTAAATCACTACCTGGTCTTGTTTTCTTCTTCTCTTTTGTCGGCTGATTTCTCGGCTGTACATCAGCACCAGTAGGTAATGATGAAACTGAGGCAGATTTAACATTTCCAGCTTTAGAAACACCTTCTCTTCCGATGGCAGATGTTTTTGTTACTTTTTGGCTTTCTTTGTTAGCCTTTTTAAATTTTTCAGTCTTTTGCTTATTCGTTTCGTCAAGATTCTTATCTGTAGCTTTCACTTTTCCTTTCGTCGGCTTCGCTACATTGTCAACTACCTTTGACGATAAAACAGTTTTTGATTCATCCTTGACCCCATCCTTGACACTTTTCTTTTCAACTTTCACTGGTTCAGTATTACCTGGATTATCTTTTGTTACCTTTCTAGAGTATTTTCCAGACTCAGCTTTTAAATCTTTAGTTTCCAAATCTTTTGAACTACCAAGTGCACGTTTCTTGTCGTCTTCAGGGATTTTCTTTTCCCTCACTCCTTTATCAACCTTTGTCTTTGTTTCCGCTTTGTGTTCAGTTCTGACCACCTTCGACCCCTCTGCCTCACTTTTTAGAGTGTCCAGAAAAGTCTTTTTCAATTGGTCAACCTCTTGTACTTCTCTATTCACCTTTGAAGTCCTTTTAACAGTTTTGAGTTCGGGAACATCAAAATCTTCCACATCCCATTCTAATTCATTGTCGTCTTCAATGGGAACAAATTCTTGTGACTCATCACTCTCCTGATCGCTGTGATCACCACGTACCTCTCCTACTTTAGAACTGTCTGAAACATTGTGATCATGAACAGATTTTACAGTACCTTTCTCATCAAACTCACTGCCAACTGTATCTCCTGTTTCGCCTTCATCCTCGCTTTCCTTTTTTTCGTCTTCATGTGATTCCTCGACTGGGACTAAAGAGCTGCTAACCTCATCAGCCACAGAAGAGACATGTTCGTTTCCTACTATGTCTAAAACTACTTCATTATCACTCTCTTTGTCATCCTCAACATCGTCATCAGGGTCGTCAGATTGATTCTGCTGTGGAATCTCCGCCTCAGCTTCTGGAGATGAATCAGACAGTTCACCTTCCTCTGAATGATCAGAATCAGGTGTGACAGGCTGAGGAGACTGCGGCACTACCTCTGCATCTTCTTCTTCCTTCTTGTCGTCATTATCATTATCACCATCCTCAGCATCGACTTCATTACTGAAAGGTTGTTCCTCCTCCTCCTCTTCATCATCATCATCATCATCATCATCATCATCATCAAAGTTACCACCAGGCTGCTCATCATCATTACCATCATTATCATCATCATTCACACCTTCCTCAGGTGAATCATGAGCATAACCTCCAAGAGAATCAACATTAGCACTTTCAGCAGTTTCAGCAACAGGGCTCCTAGAGTCACTCTCTTCCCCATCATCTTCACTGTCTAGAGGAGGCGGCACTTCCCTTTCACTGTCACTGTCAGAGTTGTCAGAACTCTTCACACCTCTCCTTTTGTTGGGCACTGGGGCTCTCCTGGTGCTCAATTCCTCCCTGCTACCACTGCCAGGCGAGGTGACCAGTTCATCTCCATTATCTGTGTTTTCAGCATTTTCATCACTGTCTAATGGAGGGGGCCCATCAATACCATCAACATCACTACCCTCGTCGTCATCCTCATCACTATTCAATGGGGGTGGACCCTCATTCCCTTCATTTTCACTGTCACTTTGACTTGACGTCGCTGAATTGTCATACTGTATCTCTTCCCTGGTGTGTGCAACAACCTCAGTGTCACTGCTCTCAGAAATGGCATCACCATCTTGAATATCAATAAAACCAGCATCTTCCGATGGCTCAAAGATATCTGCAAAAGAAAGACATACATTTAATGGTTTGAGCCAGGAGTAAGAGTCACATTCACTCCGACGAAGGGCTAACGCTCGAAACGTCAGCTTTTGTAATCGTTACGGTGGCCAATTTACCATTTCAACTTTGTTGATATTTCCAAATTACTTCGTTACCCCCACCTACGCAGCCCCAGACAGTTTCTTTAGAAACTATCAGCCTTTATTCATTGAGATCATCCTAATTTAGGTCCTGGAAAGCGCCATTGTCCGTGGCAGTGACTGTAAGTAGAAGTCACAATGAATGTGACAATGAAGTCCCTTCAGCTTCTTTACATATCAATCACTGTAATGAGGTTGTCACTACAGTTGAGACAGAGAGTACTTTTTTTTTTTACTCAAATACGTCCCAGAAATCACATCTCAGAGAATTTCAAAATTTAAAATTTTCCAAGGAGCAAGCTTTGCCACACACCATGCTTTCTATGACAACCTATGACAACAACAACAACTTCTAATGACAACCCTCCTTTCGCAAAAGAAAGCTTTTTTCACGACTACCCTGACCTGAACTATCACACTACTCCATTAAACAAAATACAGAACTGTCAATAACATGTATTAATACAAGAGACTTGGAAACACATTTTTTTTCTTACAGCCGCAACACTTGGATTTTACTTTATTCTAACTTATTCAAGGTAAATCAGCTACCAGAGCAGCTCGATGAAAAATGACATTCCATCTGTTAGCTCAATATAAGAGCATTGACCACCTTTAAGTTCAGAACCAAACTATTACTTCCTGCACTAAGTTGAAGCTCCCTAAACAACCACTCTTGTAATTGTCATGATTATAAGTTTGTAATTACTTACTCCCAAAAAGACATTCAGCCTCAGTCATAGAAAATTTCTCTATTTCCCATAGATATCCCCCTGTATGTGAGGACTAAACTCTGCTCATTAATTTTCAGAAGCAGTTGCTTTATGTTGGTATAAAAGTGACCTACAGAGCCTTTTCTTCATTCATAGTGCTTGGATTAACAAAGTTACACACTATACATAGTGTTCACTACATTATCATTTGTGTTTTGCTCTTATCAACCCTTCAATTTCAAAGTGCCTCATTTCAAATCCAATATCTGATCAATGAAAATTGTCTGGTGTAAATTTCAAAAGAAAATGCTTGAACAAAAGCACAGCAATGAAACCTCTTTCCACTCACCATATTCTAACACTGATTTACCTCCACAACTACAGAAATATCTTACAGGCATTGGACTTCTTAATATCACTTGATCAAATGAGAGAGAGCTCATAACTATGTTGCTATTAAAACTACCTTGCACCAGTTCATTTATTTTACATTTCTAAATCTCTTTCATCTTTATATACAGCATTATCCATATTGAATTGATCACTGCCATTTGAGATATTGGTTTGCAAATTAACCTTAAAAAATTATATATATTGGCAGTTTTATTTAGCACGACTGACAAAAATCTGTTGTAATAAATTTTGATTAGACATTTATCTCGTAGCATTTGAAGAGAGTTTTAGAGAACATAAAGGTTTTTGGTACTTTTCACTTTTCTCTCAAGTTGGCAGTCACCAAAAAATATGATTGGGCTGGCTCATGCAATATCAAAGTTACAGATGAGGGCAGGAATAGGAAAATACAACTACATGCAAATGGGACTATCAAAATATGTATGCAAAAGAGACAACAAGTAATTCATTATAAGAAAGAGAAATAGAGGATGGCCCTAATAAACATAAAAATAAAAGCAATTACATAGAAATCAATTGGTATGCAATTTTAGTGAGATCGATTAAGTAAGGAAGAACTAACTCTTTTTTCATCATTTAGTGGCAATATCAAGAAGGTTATCATGGGAAAAGATTTTTTTTACGGTCAGCCTGAAAATAACTATTTTGGATAAATTACTAACATTACATTGAACTCTATTACCTGTCTATTTGATTTACAGTAAATGAAGGTTTATCACCAATGAGTTTCCTTAGCCTTGAATAACACATGCATGATGACTGAAAATTAATGAGGGACTGTACTGGTAATAGAATCCAGGCACCACAGGAGACTCTCTTTTTGCAGACAACAGTCATCAACACAATTCTAATTCTATGCAACACAAGTGATTAGATCCATTGAAAAGCCTGGTCGGCAAAATAAAGCTAGTTGGAAACAAGAGAGCAAGAAAGCTGGACTTGTTTTCTCTAATAATGTAATGCACTGTCTCTATAATATTGAATAGTCTGAAATACAAAAATGCATTTCCCATTCAATTTTAGGACTGCATGGAAGTCTGTACTAGGAAACAGCAGCCTTTTTTTGGAAGATAATAACCATTTTGTTTTTTAATTGGAAAAGCTCAAAATAAAAATCCCAACTGACTAGACACTCAGAATCTTTTCGCAAAAAAATGTTATAATTCTGTTCACATATTCACTATACTGACAAGAAAGTGCAAATCATCTCAAAATAAAAACAGTCAAAATAAATCTAAAAAGTTCTTTTTTTCCAGCCTTCCAACAGTTGATTTTGCACAATAAGTGTGATGAATAAGATTCTGAAATTGCAAAGTTGTTCACAAGTTAACTCTAAATGACTAATATTAGTAAAATTAACAATAACTTGTTTTGGTCAGGATAATGTAGGAAAGGTACATAGTTGATTAATCCTCATATTTCATTTACATAAACTGACTGATTAGTTATTTAATGAGGGATACTGATTTGAAATACATGATCCAAATTAAAGCTCTGTGCTTTACCATAATTTTTCTTTTCAATGTGTTTGATATTGAAGATCCAAGTACGAAACAGTAAAACAAAAAATAAACTTTGCAGTACAGAATTATTATCCTTTCAAGAACATTCAGATTGAGCTTATAATGTAATTAAATAAGAAAATGCAAGTTGGTTTGAATGTCTGAAAATATGATGTTGCCTCTCTCAAAAATCTGCTAACTAGACAAAGTTCTAACATACCTTGACCTAGAAAATGCCGAGGTGAATCTCAGCAAGTGTATAGAAAATACACATAACCACCTTCAAGCAAGGAAAAAAACCCCGTTGATGCAACCAAATACAAAGCTCTTCTCTCAGAGGAGCCACAGAGTGCCTAATAGCTCCTGTCTCAGAAATCTGGGGTGCTCAGTGAGTAAACATTTTCAAGTAGCAGTTATAAAAGCTACCCAATGCTATTAAGTGACTAGCATCTAATTTCTCCTTACAATATCACCCCTGAATCACACATTAAGGTCATAAGAATAGAGTAAATGATCACCAACTATAGAAGCTCTTGATTGTTTAACAAATTCTCCTTGTCAGTACCTTGGGAAATGCATAAAAGTATGGAGAGTATGAAAACTGATATTAGGGTATAACGCACCAGAATTGAAGGGCTATAAGCCTGAGAACAGACTTATCTTTTATACAAAATAATTAATACATAATTCAACTTAGTTTTTTACCTGAGTACTCCATGACTAAATCCTTGTGATCTGCAGATAGATCCACAGGCACATCATCCAACTGGGGCTTGGTGCTTCCTCCAGATATCACTACAGCACGACCAGGTTTACTATTTCCTCTCTTTTTGAGCCTCTCTTTCTCACTGATGGCATGTTTCCCTATAATTTTATAAAAGTAAATTAAATGTTTAGGTCAAATGCAAATTTTTGATAATATATTTTTTTTGTTTCTGTAGTTCAATATCCAAAAGCAAGCAAATCAGGGCAAGACAATGGGCTTGTCATGTGATGGCACAGGTTTTTTCATTGTCAAACACTGTTGCAGAAAAGAAGTTAAAAGGAACCTCTGTTGGTGGAAAAAATCTTTATAAAAACTTTAAAAAATAGTCTTAAAAGTTAACATTTGTGGACCTAAATGAGAATAAAGTACTTGCTTAAGAAAAAAATTGAACATTTAAGCTCCTTTGAAACAGGAACTTTGAGCAAGCTGTAATATTGAGCCTTGTTTCACATTTCCCACTACTTTCTGCATGATCCCTGGGAATAAAAGAGCTATAATTGTGTGGTCATGTTAGTGGCAACAGTATTACAAGATACAATCCAAAATGGCACCTACTTGGAATTCCTTGTGGTTAAGTACTTTTTTGGTTCACATGTAAACTATACTTTCAACAATGAAAATCTACAGTCATGGTATTCCCAGGTAAATGATCCACAGCAAAAACTGACTCATTAGCCAGAGATCTGCTTATATTTATGCTATGCTATATCCTAGTATTATGGAAACATTATTACTGTACAAATAATAGTAAATGAAAAGTCAATAAAAGGGTTATTTTGACCATAAAAACACTCTCGCAGAGATTTAAATCAGAATAGTCTTTCAAAAGTCATTTGACATTTGAGTTTATATAGCACTAGAATGTCCATATGGAAAAACTGGTTCATTTTGATCGGGTTTCTTGGCATATAAGGTTTCTCACAGATAAGTTAAAAGATAAACTACCCTCAAATTGAGTTCCAAACCTCAAGTCAGGTTTCAATTCCCTTATAAAGTGTTATTCTCTGTTTGTGTGGTGACAAGAACAACAGCATATGATAACTTCCTTATCACTAGACTTAAGCTGATGAAAAATTGATCTTTATCCCACAAAAAGAAATGTTACTAATAAATCACACACACTAAAAATAAGCTTTTTCTTTTTTGTGTCAAAAATTGTATCATGATATAAAAGAAACTTCCAGGCAAATAGGGAAATCAGGGATGAGAGTATCATGAGATAGCTAAGCAAATATGTATCAGTTTTCTAAAGGTAGAATCAACTTAGCCTGTTATATTTTTTAGTGACAATTCACTGTAACAATTTTATCACATGGAATTCTTCTTGCCTGAGATGCTTCAAGTCATCGATCACACAAACATAAAGAAATAATTTCTCCAGAAAATGGAGTGGGCGTGTGGCCGTGATATTTATGAGATTTTAGACATAAATTTTAAATTGCCTCCTAGTATTGAAATAACAAAATTAAAAGCTAAGCGTTGTGGTGTCGCCATATCGCAGATTAAAAATTCAATCGCAGCGAAGTATGGCTGTTCTCTGAAGCAATCAGTTTTATCTTCAAGTAATCCTTCTTGCTTCTTCATAGAATTGTACTGGAAAAAGCTACTATTCAATGCTAAGTTTCATCCGTAGACATTCAGGCATCTTCCGGTATGAACAAGTACCATGCTGTCGAAGATTTCGTAATTAAAGTACCATTTCTACTCTTACAAGTTAACACAACAAGAAGGAAAATCTTCCTAAAGGGGTGTCAGTTTGAGATATCTGATTACACGAAAGAAAATAACTCCTCTCCAACTGAAAAAGGGACCTTACTCGATAAATCAAATATTATGCGCTTTCTGAAATCAGCACCTTTGAATCACAGGGTGCGACAGTTCCACGTTTAATAATTTTCACTGCCTTGAGCGGTAAATTTATAAACAGTAGAGAGGCTTTGCCTCTCGAATAACCGTTCTTTAAATACAATAGAAAGCAATAACATAATTTATACCTTTTCTTTTCTCTTTTGAATGCTCTGTACCGACGTTCTTTTGCTCAGAAAATGTCAGTTCTTGGCCGTCGGAATCCGAATCCGCCATTTGGAAAAGTCGAGTTGACAGTATGTGTTCCAGACCTCCTCGGCCATTTTACACCAGTTTGTGAAAGAAAACTGGAGCAATATTGTTGAGACCAACATGGCCGACGTCAACAACGAAGGCCATCCTCTTGACACTGTTCTTTCGATCTTTGAGGAAGCTTTTGACCATCCAGAATCGTATCTTAAACCTCCCGCTTCTCTTCATAAGAATACTTTAATAGCAATTAAGCAGATATTTGACTTTTGCAAGAAAGATGAACTACGCGGAAAGCGATCTGCTACGAGCACGTGTCCTTTGCAGGAACTCTTGGTCGAAAATTTCGATGATGAACAGATATGGCAAGAAATTGAGCTGCAGAATACTCCTTTGATGCGTGGAATTAAGCAAGAAATTCTTGATTTGAAAGAAAATCCTAACAAGCTTTCTCTTTTATCTGGAGGAAAACATATCGTGAGTCGGAGACAGGACTTGGAAGAGAAAGAAGCCAATGTTGGAAATGACAATGGTGAATTTAATAGTGCAGAGAGTTCTGATAATCAGTTGGATGAAGATGTTGAAAATGGCGATGATGACGATAATGATGATGACATCAGCTATGATAATGACGATGATGATGACAATGATGATGACGATGATGATGACGATGATGGAGATCATGAAGAGGAAGATGCTAATATTGAGAACAATGATAGTAAAGAAGTTAGCCTTTCTAATGGTGCTAACAGATACCAAAGACCATCAAAGAAAAAGTCTCAAGTTGATGACACTTTCTTCAAACTTTCTGATATGCTTGACTTTTTAGATAAAGAGGACAGAAAATATGAAAGAGCTCATAAAAAGGACAACAAAAGAAAAGATAAGGATGATGAAGTTAATAGCGAGGAAGATATTGAGCCTGTTGACTACTTTATTGATATGGAAAGTGATGACACTGATGAAGGAGAAGATGAGGAGTGGAGTGAAGCTATAGATGCAACAGAGTCACTTGTTAGAAGGTATGCTTGATGCTCTAAGACTCCACATGAATTACTCTTTTTCAACCTCTTCACTCTCAGGAATGACCCAAAAGCAATATCTCCCTACAATATCAAAACATTTTAAAGCAAAAGGGTGATAAGAAGAAAGGAAAGTATCAACACTTACTTAATATTGATTTAACAAAAAATTCTTAAAAGAGCTAAAACTACAAGAAATGTAGGGCAGACAGCACAAAGAATTTATATTTAAATCTTTTGAGTGAGAGTCTACCCATATATAGTGGTATCACAATACACCCTCAATGTAAAATGTAGAATTTAACCCTATGACTACCAATTCTACTAAGAAGTCCAGTGTCAACACAAATTGATTGATTATTTTTCAAAATTTTAACTTGTTTTGAGTTTTAGTGATTGACATGTAACTTCTCCTTATAATATCCTTACATTATCCAGCAAACAGGTAATGAGAATACTCTAAAAACCCGCAGATAAGCCGCACCCTTTTTCCTAAAATGGTTGCTAGAAATTGGGGGTGTGGCTTATCTGCAGGGAACTTTAAAACATCACACTGCTTCTGGTGTCCAGTTTTCCATTTTTACGTCCGATCTAATGCGTGGTTACTAAGCTTTGAATGTTCTGCTCACGTTCTTGTTGTAATGCAAAAATCTATGGAAAAACTGTGTTGAATGAAGAAATTTCTGCCAACAAATACAAGAAAAAGATCAATCATAATTATGTCAAAGTTGGTAGAAACAATGTTCATTATATTAAAGTGCTAAAATTGTGGGTAAGACTTTGAAGTATTTTCTGTTGCACTGTTAATAGTGAGTTTACGCTCAATGAACAGTGGATGAAGAAGACTTCTCAAGACTCAACTTTGGATTTCTCTTGATTTCTTTCAAAAAACTTTTTTTCCAAAATTTGAGCTGTTAAATTCAGGGTGCAGCTTATCTGCAGGTGCAGCTTATCTGCGAGTTTTTACGGCACTCAAACTTATCATAAAGAAGTTATCTTGATATAACACCAAATTCTCATAACTAATTTACAAGGAAATGTGTAGCAACCAGAGGGGAGAATTAACAATCAGATCTAGAGAGTTAAAGGGATAGTTTATTTTACATCTCCAGTGCCAGAGATTTGATCGTTACTCTCTAACTTTCAATGTACTGAGTAGTTCATGTAGGCACACAATATCCAAATGGCGTGACTTACTCATTATGTCATTGTGGCAATAAAGGAGTTAGTGGAAAGTGTCTGGCCCAAAGTCACTAAAAATTAACTTTAGTCAGGGCTCATAATCTAGCTATGCTGGATAATCATGATCCTGTGAAAGGTTGGCATGTATATACATTTAATTTTTTGTAGACTTTATCAGTTTTATGGTTTTTTTGAAACCATAAAAACATAAGTGACAGTGTAATAGCAAGGATTTGGGGATGGAAAATGTGGGGTTGCCTGACTTGAATATTACTTTTTTTACTTTTGTTTGAGAAGAAAAAAGGTGAAAAAGAGGAAAATAACCAAAAGGAAGACATCTGCCACCAAAATGAAATATGCAGACTTCTTTGATCCCCCTGAGGGAGAGGATGGTGATGGAATTAATGAGCAAAACAGTGATGCTGATGAAGATAAAGATGAAGATGAAGAAGTAGATGCAGAAGCTGATATAGATGAAGATTCAGAGAGTGATGAAATTCCTTCAAAAAGTCAAAAGGAAGAGGATACTAAAATCTTATCAAATTTTGAGGAAAAGCAGGAGAGGGTAAGCTTGAAAGTAGAGGTTGAAATGTTACATCAAAATAGAAGGTTACTGGTAGGTAGGAACTCTCTAAATCAGACAATAGTGCGAAGTGTTGTTTTTGCCTTCTGTACTTAGAAACATTCATTATATTGAGCCACACACTGGAAAAAAATATTTTACGAATTTCTATGATCATGTTGAAATACTCCAAGGGATAATCATGCAGTATTCTATTTAACACCCTACCAGTATTCTGGGTGTTAGTGGATTATTAATAATAATATACCAGTGGCGCACACATTCTTCCTTAAAAGATACAATACAATACAAACTTTATTGACTCTCCCTAAAGAGGGTTTTTCGGTGAAAATGATCTAAAAATTACAAAATTACAATACTAAAATGTATAATAGGAAAATTATGGAAGCTAAAATATTAATAAATGTTCACCAAAATTACAACTAAGAGCGATGAGAAAGGAAAGCAAGAAGTAATTTAGCTCTAAGTTTACGCTTAAAATCACAAGAAGAATTACAGAGTTTGAGGGTGTTATCTAAACTGTTCCATAGACTTACTGAACGATAAAAGAAAGTCCTTTGTCCAGATTTAGTTCTATATAAGGGTATATGCAGAAGTTGGGAGCTTCTGGTGGTGCGACCACTTATCTCACCACATGTTAGAAACTTCGAGGAGAGATAAGTAGGAGTGGAGCCGGTCATACAGTTAAAAGCAAGTACCGCGTCACGGAGATATAGCTGAGATTTAATAGGTAGCCTGTGCAGTTCTCTCAGAAGCGGAGTCATGTAGAGATCTATTGAGAGTTTTTTTTTACCCTGTAACTCAGGCAAGTGACCAAGACATAATTGCTCCTTAGAGTATCACTACAAAAGCAAGTTCACAAGTGATGAGAATAAAGAAAAATATAAATAAAGAGATTCTTGGTTGATGCTATACCAAATTCGCCAAACCTAACTTCATAAGAATTTTATGGCAGACAGTAAGGAGAATTACTAATGAGATCACAGTCCTGAGTGAAAGGGTGAATCCATTTGTCCACTTTATTCCTGTACTATGCTTGGATTTGAGTACTTATTGGAGTTGGACCACTACAAGAGATTGATTTGGATGGAGCTGTAAAACTGATATCAATTTAATCCTTGTTTTCTCTATTTAGCTAAAACAGAAAATTGAAAAGTTAGAAAAAGCCAACTTAGCTGAAAAACCTTGGCAGATGTCAGGAGAAACTGGTGGAAGTGTGCGACCCATTAATAGTTTGCTTGAAGAGGATGTCAGCTTTGACCACACAACGACTGCTGGTGAAAATTGAATTACACATCTTTTATTTACATTTTTGTCATTTATGATGATTCTAACGTGCAAGTGCCCTGAGTTGAAGTTATTAGATCAAGTTACACTACCTCATTCTTGAGAAATTTCCTTTCATGATCATGGCATTTACTTACCAATATCAATACAATGAGTATGAGAGTGATCTTTGCAGGCCTTATTTTCACTTCTGCTTAAGTAGTGTTCATGACCGCAAAGATCGCTCTCATACTCATTTCTTTAACTGCAGTTCACATATATAATTTTTATATATTCCCAAATGTTGACTCGTTAGTTCACAGGTTTATTATGAACCAACATAATGACCAGTTCTCAATTGGCTTGTTAGCTCAGTTGGTAGAGCACTGTAGTGGTATCGCAGAGGTCATAATTTGGTTCAAATCCCGAACAGGCCTGAATATTTTTTTCAGGCCTTATTTTCACTACTGTTTGAGTAGTGTTCATTACTGCAAAGATCACTCTCATACTCATTTCTTTAATCACAGTTCACACAGATGATTTCCATTTTCATATACTCACAAACAATGTCAAGGCATTAAAAATGTTTAAAAATATCAAACTTGAGTCCATGACAGAAAGAGGCACAGTGTACACTTGTAAGCAGATTTTTTACTTCTCACAAAGCCCTTTTACTTAAGACTGAATCAGGATTCTTAAGGCCACAATTTTCTAGGAGCCATGTACTTGTTGCCACCTTTGTATCTTCTGGAGAAAAGATTACTTAACACACAGAGATGAATGAAAGTGAATCACTGTAACTTAATGTGATTTCTTATTTGATCACAACCTGTAGAAAAACCTTTTGCTTAAAATTCTCAAATGTTAAGTTTTGTCAGTGAAGTATAGCAGTAAGTTGTTGTGATATGTGCAAACAAGGACATTACAGATTGTGAAATGACTCTGATATATTTGTGACACTTTCAAATCTTTTTAATGCTCTGTTTCTGTCACAGCTCCAGACATAACAGAGGAGACAACTCAAAACCTGGAGGACATAGTGAAACAGCGCATCAAAGATGAGGTACCCTTTTCTCGCTCAATATTGACAGAGGGAAATGTACTGAACTTGTTGATTACCCTCTACTCTCTGTTATCAAATCCTTGTTTTATTGTTTATCATTGACATTCACCATGTCACAATTAGCATACTCTCTCTTAAAAACCTATCGCTCCAATCATCACCTCTCCTATTTTACTTTTAACCTAAATGTGATTGTGTAAGTGTCATGTCATGCCACTTCCATTCAGAAGTAAAGTTATGTGATGTGACAGAGTGTGATGCAATGCCATGCTGTGTAATGTGAAGTGGTGTGAAATAATCTGATTTTACATACATTTTATAAATATATTTTTTTTCTATGTGTGACAGCTTCTAAATCAGAAAGTATTACAGGCAAATTATTCCAAGATTGTTAGTTCTTACTTCAGAATAATTAAAATAAATTTTATATTTTCCTACAAGTCATCTGTTAATGGCTGAAACAGTGTAAAACGTTTTATATAGAATTTGTTGAGAAACAGTGCAAAATCTGTCAATGGAATTTTTTGTTAAGGCATGGGATGATGTGGAACGTAAAGTAAAGCCTGTTACGGAGCCATATGAGTACAAGAAAAAGTTACCTCTGGATCAAGAAAAGAGTAAATTAAGTCTTAGCCAGATCTATGAACAGGAATATCTTAAACAAACACAGGTAGAGTACTAAATAACTGGTAGAACATCATGAAGAATATAGAAATTACCGGCCAGGACAAATATTTTTGTGAATAATTGCAAGTCACTCACTTGTATGATGTATTACACCTATGCCCAGTGTAAGTGTTTGTGTTTAGTCTTCTTATTTCTTGAAAATATGAAGTTATATCCTCCTCCTCATTTGTCAGAAATAAACATTGCCAATGTTTTTTTTTTGGGTTTGCCTCAATAAGGTCAGCATCTTGTTCAGTTGGTTTACTTACCATAGTCTACCAGTTACTATCTATTGCCTTAGCTTATCCGGGGTTTAAATGGAGTGAATTACAGTATGTGTCCTTAAAACATCATCAGAGAACCAGTGATGTTGAGCATAGACTAAAGTTTTTTCAAGAATTAGATCCCTTAGAGACATCCTGTTTTTCCTGGACTTATTTAATGCAAAGTGAGGCTTGTCACAAATGAGTGTTTACTCTGTAGCTTCTACTCATAGGTCTAGAAAGTTCTCACAAATAATTATTATATTGATTGCGTCTGTTAATACTTTTAGTCAAGGATGATTTAAATTTTGATATGAAATGTCATTTTTGAACTCTTTATTTTGCAGGCAGAAGCTGAAGAAAAAGAAATTGAAGAGCATACAGAGATCAAAGCCTTGATGACAAAACTTTTTGTCAAACTAGATGCTTTGTCAAACTTTCATTTTACACCCAAACCAGTAAGTTGTCCAGTGCAAACCTATGTAAAGAATTCTCTTCTAGAATCTCCATATGCTAAACGTTGCTCTTAGCCACACCTCGAGCAACTCTTTTTCTTTTCTCATGTTCCCAAATTTTCCAGCATACACCCATACCTTGATTAGAGCATGCCAGGCCTGAGAGCATGCCAAGCATGAATTAATTCTAAATTCTGTTATTAGTGCTTTGGGTTTAGCCTGCAAGTAGGCCCCCACTAAATGCACTGCTGGACAAATGTTCCTTTGCCCTTGAGTAAAGCTAGCCAGTAAAAGGTCTGCAAGCTCAAGGCCTAAAACTTGTGGAAGGTGAAGAAATGATAATGAGGGCCTCGGGTTGAGCAAGACACTTACACTTCAAACCAGCCCTAACACTGACTGTCTCTTATTTCAGCCCAAACCAGAACTTAAAGTTGTCAGTAATGTTCCAGTGATATCAGTCGAGGAAGTGACCCCAGTGACTTTGAGTGATGCAATGATGTTGGCTCCAGAGGAGGTCCATGAAAAGAAGAAAGACCAGAAAGGAAGTTCTGAGAAAACAGACACTGACAGAAAGCGTGCCCGAAGAGCTAGGAAAAGAAGACAACATGAACAAGCTGTGGCAAGAGGAAAGAAAGCCAAACTTATGGAAAAACTCAAACCTGGCCTGGGAAACAAGTATTCTAAAAAGGCTGCACTGAAGAAATTGGAAAAAGATCAGACATCTCAAAAAAATGTGTCTGTGTTGAGAGATGAAGATGGTGATAAACCAGTGAACACTTCATCTGCCTTCTTTTCTCAACTTCAAGATGAAGTCAGGGATCAAGTAAAAGCTAAGAAAGATAGGAAGAAAAAGAAGGAGAAGTCTGCTGTTAAAGTTTCCCAATTGAAACTCTGAAGTCAAATCAAACTTTTGTTCTACATTCTGCTGGTCTAAATTATTTACTGGGCAATTCTGCATGGGTGACCACAGGCAGCCCAAGCTCACTACGAGAAAAGCGGACGTGACTCTTACCGTGTTGCGTAACGTTTTATATTTATAAAGGTTTGTATGGGATGTTATCGGTTTGCCTTAAAAGAGAGAAAAAAATGTCTTGTTTTGAAATATAATGGGCTCACTTTATTGCCTTGTTGTTTTCTTTGTTGATTCCGAACGTCTCAGGCCATTTTGAAGCGTTTTCGGCGAGTTAGCGCTATGTTGGTGTTCAACTGCTAAAAGAAAGACAAGGCCGGAAACCTATTTTAGAAGCGTCCGTCGCCCGAAGCGAATAATTCCGCCAAAAAATTTCCACCAGTCTCGATTCCTCCAGAAAATCAAAGCAGAGATGTTGCAGTTCCATTTTCCATTCACTCGATTCACAATTCCTCCCCCAGATCTTTCACTAGCGATACTTTTATCTCCAGATCGATAGGCTTTCCCATTTCGAATTTGGCTGGTTGAAACGACCACTGTCCCTTCGCCGATCGCACAGTATGTTGGGTAACAAAAATAAGCCCGGCGAGGGTAGCCAGCGGCCTGCAGTCCAAAAACAAACCCGTTAGCTCCCCTGG